TAGTTTTAAAGTTTTCTAAAAAAAAACGTGTATGATTATGTATTTTTTTTTTTTTGACGGAATGCATGATTATGTTGTTATTCATAAGTTAACAAGAATATATTAATTTATTATCTCCAACCTTAAATAATCAATTAATCACATCAATTATCATATTTTTACTTGTTTAACAAGCAATATATATATATATATATATATATATATATATATATATATATATATATATATATATATATATATATATATATATATATATATATATATATATATATATATATATATATATATATATATATATATATATATATATATATATATATACTAGTTTTGTGCCCGTGCGATGCCCGGGTTGTTTATTGAATTTTAAGATAATTTTTAATCTATATGCCAAATTTTAAAACATAAGACAAAATAAGTTAGGAATTGATGTGCTTTTGTGATGATTTAAACTATATAGTAGGCATGTAATGACTAATAATAATAACATTGGTGAAAATCATTTCTTGACCCGTAACCTGTAATAATGACCATGTCCGGAATGACTCGTGACCCGACCCGATTGACATGTCTACACGCATTAATAAAATTATATTAGATTGTAAAATTTGTTGTTTTAATTGATTAGAATATATTATAAATAATGGATGTGGTGCATTTTGAGCTAATTCCTTCGCTCCAAAAAAATACTATGATACAAAAAATAAATTTTTATTAAAATTATAATTTAATTTGTACATATGAAATATTGGTAGTTTATCGAAAATAAAACTATAAATTAACAATTTTATCCTAAAATTTTATCCAAATTTGATTGAAAATAGAATTCTAAATTAACTTTTTATATCTTACAAATTGAATTATATATAACTCTATCCTACGTGGCGCGACACTTGGCGAAAAGTTGGAACGCCAAGTGTCACTATCTCGTCGTTTGGCTAAAAGTTTAGTTATATATATATATATATATATATATATATATATATATATATATATATATATATATATATATATATATATATTATATATATATATATATATATATATACTAGTTTTGTGCCCGTGCGATGCCCGGGTTGTTTATTAAATTTAAAGATATATTTTAATCTATATGTCAAATTTAAAACATATCATTGATACAAGATTAGTTAGGAATTGACGTGTTTTTGTGACCATTTAAATTTGTAGACATGTAATGACAAATAATAATAATATTGGTGAAATTTTTTTTGACCTTTTTTGAAATGACTCGTGATCCGACCTGATTGACAGGTCTATACACAGTAATAAAATTATATTAGATTGTGAAGTATATTATTTTAATTGATTAGAATATATTATGAACAATGGACTTGGTACATTTTGAACTAATTCCTTTGCTCAAAAAAAAATTATGATACAAAAATAAATTTATATGATAATTTATGAGAGTTATAATCTAATTCTTTTTTTGAATAAAATTATAATTCAATTTGTACATATGAAATATTGGTACTTTATCAAAAATAAAACTCTAAATTAACAATTTTATCCTAAAATTCTATCCAAATTTGATTGAAAATAAAATTCTAAAATACCTTTTTTATTCTATATAACTCTATCATACGTGGCACAACACTTGGCGAAAAGTTGGAACGCCAAGTGTCGCTGTCTCGTCGCCTGCCTAAAAGTTTAGCTTTATATATATATATATATATATATATATATATATATATATATATATATATATATATATATATATATATATATATATATATATATAAGGCTCATATAAGAACCCTCCTCTATATAAGAACCCATTATATATAAGAACTAATCTGGACCGTGGAATTAGCTTGATCTGACCGCTCAAAATGAATGATTAGTAATGACATTTTTGTAATTTGAAGGAGTTTATTCAAATTCTTTTTCCTCTTCCTTCAAATTCTTTTTCTCTCTCTAAAATTCTCAGCTTTCTCCCTCTCCTCAGTTCAACAGATTGGCGAAAGTTCATCAAATTCATCACGATATTTTCACAGATTTTGGATTAATTATTGTAAGTTTATTAATTTTATAATCAGATTTGTTTTAAATTTAATGATTTTTCATGCAATTTTGATGCGATTAATTTCATGCGATTATTTTGAGCATTTTCTATGTAATTGTTCTCAATATTGTTTAGCGAATATTTTGCTGCGATTTTGCTACGAATTTTATGCGATTTTGATGCGATTTTTTGCTGCAATTTGATGTGATTTTGTTGCGTTTTTATGCGATTTTTTCTCAAATATTTCCCTGATTTTTGCGATTTGTATGCTGCGATTTTGATGCGTTTATTTCTCAATTTTTGCTGCGATTTATGTTCGATTTTTACTGATTAATTCATGTTTTCGTCAATATTTTTGCGATTTTTTGCGAATTTTCTATTCGATTTTGTTTTTGGCGATTTTCTATTCGATGTATATTTATTTTGCTCGATTATTTATCAATTCGATTGTTTGATTGTTCGAATTGTTTGTTCTTATTTTGATTTTTTCTCAAAATTTTCCGGCACAGGGGATCTGTTCACCGGCGAGGTTAGGGTTGGCTGGGTAGAGAAAGGTTAGGTGGCGGCTAGGGTAGCGACGGCGGCGAATTTGGTGGCTGGGAAGAGGAAAAGGGTGGTGGTGGTTTTTCCTTTTCCTTTTTTTTTTAATTTTATTATTTCTAGATTTTATATAGTTCACTATGTTCTAAGCAAAAGCAAATTTAGAACATAGCTATGTTCTAAACAAATTTAGAACATAAAGTAATTTACTACGTTCTAAGCAAATCAAATTTAGAACATAATTCACTATGTTATAAGGAAATTTAGAACATAAAGTAATTCATTATGTTCTAAAATAATTCAAGATGTTCTAAAGTTTTCCTTCTATGTTCTAAAATTTTCCATCTATGTTATAAAGTTTACTCTTTGTGTTCTAAAGTAATTCACTGTGTTCTAAAGTAATTCATTATATTCTAAACTATTATTTAACTATCTTAGCATGTTCTAAACTTTTATTTAGCATATATTAAGTTTACTCTTTATGTTCTAAAGTAATTCATTGTGTTCTAAAGTAGACAATCTTAGCATGTTTGTCAAAGCTTGTTTAATTAGCACTAGTCTTAACTTGGGATAACTTTTGCTTTAAAGGACTACTAATGATAGATTGATTATATAGCCAATATAATGAACCCACCTTAATGCAAGTAATCGATCATCAAATTACAATAAACGATGCTAAAGATAGTGTTTAGAAGTGCAAAAGGATATGATTAAACAAAAAAAAATTACTTTTGTGATTATCTCATATAGTTGTTAGTAGTTTTTCCTCTAGTTCAAGTGTTTTATATACATTAGCCTACTAGCTCAACGGGTAGAGCATTGTTTGAGTTTTTTCATTAATTTCATCAATTTCGTTTTCTAGTTTTCTTTTTCTTCTTCAATTTCCAGATTTTTCCAAATTTTATTTCTAGATTTTATTTCCTTTGCTTATTTCCAGATTTTTTATTTCCAGATTTTTCTGTTTTTTTCCTTTGCTTGAGTTTTTCAACATCTTTTTCGATTTTATCCTATTTTGTTTTCCAGATTTTTGATTTTTAATGGATTTTAATTTCTGGTTGCTTTTTTGCTACAATTTGTGTTTTTCAAAATAGGTTTATGCATATTGATGGATTTAGATGGTGTGCAACCTAATTATCCTTCTTCCTGTGTTACTCATTCAGGTAATTTTATTGTTTTCAATGTTTTAATTTCAATTTACTTACATGTTCTAAAGTTTCTTTACTATGTTCTAACATTTATCTGTAATGTTCTGAAGTTTTCTCTGTATGTTCTAAAGTTTTCTATATATCTCTCTCTTTATATTGTAAAACTTTCATTCTATGTTCTAAAGTTTACCTTCTAATTTTAAATTTTACTTTTTATGTTCTAATGTTTACTTTCATTGTATGTTCTAAAGTTAACCTTCTAGTTTAATTTTTTCACTTTATTGTAAATTTTATTATGTATGTTATAAAGTAATTCACTATGTTATAAGTATGTCCCTGATTTTATATGTTCTAAAGTTTATCCTTGATGTTATAAAGTTTATCTTTGATGTTCTAAAGTTTTCTCTGTATGTTCTAAAGTTTTTTATGTATCTTTCTCTTTATATTATAAAGTTTATTTTTATGTTCTAATGTTTACTTTCATGTTCTAATGCAGTTGGTGATATTTATCGTACTCTAGAGGTTGTTGGATCATTTAGCCCTGGTGGTACCACTAAGGAATGGATTCCAAGTGTTCCCGAGGAGTTAAAACCTAGTTTGGGGATGATATTTAAAGATCCTGAAGAGGGTCTTAGTTTTTATAAAGCATATGCAAATGCCGCTGGGTTTACTTCTAGGAAATCTACTACTAAAAGGAAGAAGAATAACAAAGATATAATTGCTTTTCAATATGGAGTTTGCAATAAGGAAGGTTTTAGGGCAATAAGAAAACCTATTGCTCAACAAACAGTTTATGAAGAAGGAAAAGTTCGTATTACTAGGAAACGTTTAGTCACTCGTGTAGGATGCAATGCTCACATATGTATGAGATATGATGCTGGAAAGTATGTTGTAACTCATTTCAAAGAAGAACATAATCATCCTTTATATACTCCAAGTTGTGCAAAATTTCAGAAGGATAATAGAAAAATGCATATTATGCATAAAAAGTTGATTGTTGATAATTCAAAGGTGATTTATTTTTATGTACTAAATAATGTTTTTTTTTGTTTTGATTTACTATGTTCTAAAGTTAATTCTTAATCTTAGTAATATTTTTTTTTTTCTAACAGGTAAATGTTGGTCCTGTGAGGTCTTATACTATGATGAAAGAATTAGCTGGATCACATGATAATGTTGGTGCATCTAAACAAGATTTCAAAAATTTTTATAGAGATTTGAAGGCTTTTATTGATGGATCAGATGCCCAAATGTTTGTGGATAATTTTCAAAATAAGAAATTGCTCTGGAGTGCATTTTTTTTTCCTATGATGTTGATGAAGAAGATAGACTTTGTAGAGCTTTATGGGCTGATCCAATCTGTCGAAAAAATTATGCACTTTTTGGTGATATGGTTTCTTTTGATACCACATTCAAAACAAACAGGTGATGTTTTAAATATAAATTTCTTTCATAATGTAATTAATATTTTACTTTTACATATTAATTTTTTAAACATATGTTCTTATATTCTAAATATCATGCCTTGTGTTCCTAAACAAATATCCATCATGTTTTGATGTTCTAAACAAATATTCTTTATGTTCTAAACTATGTATGCCTTATGTTCTAAACATATATTGCTAATGTTCTACCTTATGCTTTAAAATATATCCATCATGCTTTTATGCTTTAAACATTATGCTTTTGTGTTTTACACTTTATTCTTTGTGTTCTAAACTAATATCCATCATGTTCTAAACATTATGTCTATATGTTCTAAAGTTTACTTATAAGTTTTTAAAACTACATTGTATATTTTTAGTTTAGTGTTTATGTTTTAGAGTAATTCATTATGTTTTAAAACAACTATATTACTGCCACGTTTAATAATTAAATTAAATTACTATCCTCTAAAGTTTATCCTTAATGTTCTAAAGTATACCTCTATGTTCTACAATTTACCTCTATGTTCTAAAGTTTACCTCTATTTTCTGCATAAATAATTTGTGTATGTTACAGATATAATATGATCTTTGGTCCATTTACTGGAGTTGATCATCATAAAAAATGTGTTACTTTTGCGGCTTCTTTTGTAGCTCATGAGGATATATCATCTTTTGAATGGGTTTTCAAAACTTTTCTTAAAGCAATGGGAAATAACGAGCCTGTGTGTTTGATTACCGATCAAGACCCTGCAATGAAAGTTGCTGTTCGTAATGTTTTTCAAACTACAGAACATAGGTTTTGTATGTGGCATATTATGAAAAAGGTGCCTGAAAAAGTAGGTCGGGCGATTGCCCAAGACACTGATTTCTTGAAAAAACTGTGTTCATGTGTTTGGCATTTAGAGATTGAGCCGGCAGAATTTGAAGAAAAGTGGAACAAAGTTATTTCAGAATTCCATTTGAACGATCATGAATGGTTGACATACATGTACAACATACGTGATATGTGGATTCCAGCGTATTTCAGAGATTTATTTTTGGGTGGCATTATGAGAACCACATCTAGATCAGAAAGTGAAAATAATTTTTTCACTATGTTCACAAATCCCCATCTCACTTTGATTGAGTTCTACATGAGGTAATAAGTAATTGTCTATATATGTTCTAAAGTTACTCTTTATGTTCTAAAGTTTTCCTTGTATGCTCTAAAGTTTTCTTTTTATGCTTTATAGTTTTACTATTTATTTTATAATTCTCTTTTATGTTTTCTTTTTCTCTTTATGTTTTAATAATATTTAGATCATAATAAACATGTCATGTATATTTATATGTTCTAATGTAATTCACTCTATGTTCTACAATTATCTTCTATGTTTTAAAGTAAATTTCTATTTTCTATAGGTTTGAATGTGCATTGGATGCTCAAAGGCACACTCAAAATAAAATGGATAATGATTCGAAGAATAAGCGTCCGGAGTGTAAGACTCCAATTCCTTTAGAGAAAGATGCTTCTGAATTGTTTACAACAACAATTTTCTATGAATTTCAATATGAGCTTGAAATTGGATGTTTTAATTGTGGTGTTGAGGAGATGAAGAAGGACAATGAGCTTTACATTTTCAATTTGAGGGAAGGAACTAGAAGGAGGACTTTTGATGTTGTTTTTGATCCAACTACCTTTGATACCAAGTGTTTTTGTAAAAAATTTGAACGTGATGGTGTGCCTTGTAGGCATATGATTTGGGTGTGGAAGGCAAGGATGTTAGAAAAAATTCCCAAGGCCTACATTCTAAATAGATGGTGTACAATGGCTTATAAGAAGCCCATTTTTGATTTAGAGGGTAATGTGTTGGAGGAATGTATTAATGCAGTAGATAAGAAAATGTTATTAAATGATTTGTGGTCTGAAATTCATGCTTGTGTGAGTTTAGTGCAAAACAATGAAGATGATCTTAGTGATCTTGTCAAAAAACTTCGAGCCATGAGGGCAGATTTGGAACAGAAGAAAACAAATGGAAGCAACAATCTTTCGAGCAAAGTTAAAGACATTGAAATGCTTATTGGAGCTAGTCTACCTTCTAATGTTTTAATCAAACCTCCTAAAATTTCGAAGAACAAAGGCACGGGGGTTCATGTTCCAAATCAGGTCAATGTTCCAAATGATGTCCATGTTCCAAATCAGGTTCATGTTCCAAATCAGGTAAATGTTCCAAATGATGTCCATGTTCCAAATGATGTCCATGTTCCAAATGAGGTTCATGTTCCAAATAGTGACAAAAGAATGAAGAGTGACAGAGAAAAGTCTATTGAACAAAGTCAAAAGAAGAAGAGATTATGTAGAGCATGTGGGGAGCTTGGTTATCATGATAGTCGTAATTGCCCTGGAAAAGTCAAGTGATATTGTAAGTAAACTTTATTTTTAATTTTCTTATATTTATTTTGTTCTAAAGTAATTATGTTTTAAGCAAGTTTAGAACATAAAGTTATTCATATATGTTCTAAAGTAATTCAATATGTTCTAAAGTGTTTTCTCTTTGTTCTAAAGTTACTTTTCTATGTTCTAAAGTGTTTTCTCTATGTTCTAATGTTTATTCTTTCTGTTTTAGTGTAATTTAATATGCTCTAATGTTTAGAATATAAAGTTATTCATTTTGTTCTAAAGTTTTCCTTTATATTTTAACTTTTCTCTTTATGTTCAAAATATTTTCTTTATATGTTCTAAAGTTTTCTTTATATGTTTTAAAGGTTTCTTTAAATGTTCTAAAGTTTTTACTCTATATAATATCATGTGTTCTAAACTAATAGAAATGGCATGTTATAACATTTTTTAATGCTAAATTATGTGCTTATGTTCTAATATTGTTTTATTTTTTTTTCTTTACAGGTTGGTGAATATACTATTAATCCAGTTGCATGAGATGTTATATATTTAGAAACAATATCTCATTTACTAGCACGTAAAATATTATTCATGTAATTCTTAAAATATAAGAACTCAATTTATTTACTTTTAGAAACAATATATTTTTATTTCTTTTTTGTCCAATTATTATTCAGAGTATCTCTACTAGTGTTTTTCTTATCAATTTTTATGTTAATTAAAGTTGATTATAATGTTTTATAACATCTCCTGTCTTTTCATCTTCCCCCCTTTTCGTAATTATAAGTTGTTTTATTAAGTCAATTTGAACTACGAGTAATGATAGTACAAGCATTTTAGATACCTTTATTAAACAACATTTAGTTGAATCTTGCTTTAATCAACTTTTATTTATTCAAGTTTCTTAACATTGATTTACATATGCCTTCTTAGATATGCACTAAAGAGTGTATGCATTGTATTCAAAAGGAAAAATAAAGCAAAAGTAATGGATTAGAAGCAGCCAGTTTAGAACATAAGCAAATACTTTAGAACATAGATAAAAATAATTAGAAGATTAGCAAAATCAATAATTTGGACATGTAATAAGAAAAAAGTACAACATAATAAGATATAATTAGAATCAAGTTACCAATTGAATGCTTTGGAATCTTGTTACTTTGGCTGTTGTCATTTCTTGTTACTTTTTTTTAATTTTCTTATGTTCTAATGTTCTACACTTTAAGTTTTAAGTCAAAATTAATATATAATAATATATTCTAATATCCTAACTTTATAAGCATATAATTATTAAAACATAATCAAAAATACTTTAGAACATACCCATATAATTTAGAACATGAATATAATTTAGCATATAAGTTTATATGATATATTTTATATTAAAATTTTAGCATTTAATATGATTCAACAATATATTTCTTGTAACAGGTAAATACATAGAACATAAAAAATTACTGTTATATTCTTTGCAAATATCTCTCTACAAATATAAACTTAAGATCTTAACAATCATATATCCATTTTGTTCTCCTTTGACCACTTTTTTGATCTCCTAATCACTTTGTTCCGTTCTTCATTTACTTCTGCTGTTATTATCTTCCCACAATACTCCACTCTTAATTTTTTCATTTGGTCAAACTGCAAAAAAAAAAAAAAAAAAAGAGTAACTTTTAGAACATAAACATAAACATTTGGTCAAACTGCAAAAAAAAAAAAAAAAGAGTAACTTTTAGAACATAAACAGAAATACTTTAGAACATAAGCATATAATTTAGAACATGAATATAATTTAGCATATAAGTATAAATAAATATAATAAACCATAATATATCTAAACAATAACCAAACCAAACCACAACACTAAAACCATAACACCAAAACCATAAACGAAACTAATTTAAAACATGTATCTTATGTTTTAAACTTACATTGTCTAATTCTAGTCCCGAATTCCATTGTTTTACAGATTCTCCTTCATATGTTTCCATGTGCTTCAACAGGAACACTCCACAATCATGTTTGTTGTTATTGCTCTTCCATGACATACTCAAGTTTCTTGTTTTGAAGGAGGATACAAAGTCACTCTTTATATTTGAGTCAATTGAGTGAACGAAATCAGCAAATGCATTCAACTGAAAAATTGGATAAACTTTAGAACATATAAGGTAAACTTTAGAACATAAAGAAAAACTGTAGAACATATAAGGCAAAAGTTAGAACAAAAGTATAATTAAAAAAATGTAAACTTGATGTCTTACCATTAATCTATGGTAATTTCCATATTTATTGTGAAAAGGAATATTTGGTGGAAGAAATCTGTTGTCAATCAAATCAAATGTTCCTTCCACAAAGTTGACACACAGCAAATAGTAGTGATCTGGTAAAACGACCGGGAAGAAAACCTAATAGATAAACAGAATTAGAACATAGATAAGCAAAATTAGAACATAAGCATGCATTTTAGAACATAAGCATATAGATTAGAACACAAGCATATAATTTTTATAACATGTAGTTTAGAACATAAGTAAGTAGTTTAGAAGATAAATAAGTAGTTTAGAACATAAGTAGATACTTTAAAACATAGATAAAAATAATTAGAACATAAACAAAACCAATAATTAGAACATATAATAAGAAAAAAGTACAACATAATAAGATACCAAATTACCAATTGAATGCTTTTGAAGCTTGTTACTTCGGTCGTTGTCATTTCTTGTTGCATTCTATCAAACAAAGCCTTCATTCTATCATCTTGCCTTTCATTTGATTTGAAGTATTTTTCTGTACAACGTATGAGCTGAAAAAGAAAAAGAAATTAAAACATAAGTAATTAGAACATAGGTGCATAGTATAATCTATATGAGAAACAAAAAGAATCTACTCTTAGAACATAGTTATAATTTTAAGTTCGAAAACATACATAGCATTCAGTACTGAAAAAGAATCTACTCTTCTTGTCTACACCACGTCTTTTATTTTCAAAATTCAATAGGCAAACATAAGCATCCACAACATTGTTCAACATGTGCTTATCTTCTATGAGACTATGAATCTCATCTCTCGTAATCGTTGTCCCCATGTTATCAGCATACAAAAGCTCCCTAAAATCAGAACATTAAAATCAGAACATAAGCATGTAGTTTAGAACATAAGCATGTAGTTTAGAACATAAACACATAATTTAAAACATAAGAATATAGTTTAGAACATAAGTACCTATTTTAGAACATAAGCATATAGTTTTACCCATGTACTTTATAACATAATCTCGTAGCTTAGAACACGCAGTTTAGAACATAAGAATGAAGTTTAGAACATAATTTATAGCTTAGATCATAAGCATATAGCTTAGAACATAAGCATATAGCTTCGAACATAAGCATATAATTTTAAAGTTTTAAAGTCTTACTTATTATCTCCTTGAGCAAACGCATACTCAGCTACCTTTCTATTGTCCACATTCTTGAAAAGTTTTTCATGTTCAACCATGAAAGGTGAACGCAAGTACATTGGAAGCTTATCCTTTCCTCTTTTTTTCCGTGTCTTTTCTTCTCCTTTTTCTTCTCCTTGTTTCCTACTTAATTCAATTAAAAAATATCACATAGATAACAAAAACCATAACTAAATCAAACGAAAATTTATTGATAACAAAAACCATAACCAAATCAAACCAAAATTTATTATTACCAAGTTCTAAATTAAAATTTAACTAAACCATAACCAACATTTGTTTTAAAGTTTACAAAATGATTACCCTTTCTTGTTCTCATTTTTTTCTTCTTTGTTCTTCTCTTCATTCTTGCTTCCTTCATTTTCTTTCTTCTCCTCTTGATTCTCCTCTTTTTCCTCCTTTTTCTTCTTCCCCTTTTCTTCTCTCTTCTCCTCTTGGATCTCCTCTTTTTCCTCCTTTTTCTTCTTCCCCTTTTCTTCTCTCTTCTCCTCTTGGATCTCCTTTTTTTCCTCCTCTTTCTTCTTCCCCTTTTCTTCTTTCTTCTCCTCTTGCTTCTCTTCTTTTTCCTCTTCTTTCTTCTTCTCCTTTTCTTCTTTCTTCTCCTCTTTTTCCTCTTCTTTCTTCTCCTCTTTTTCCTCTTCTTGCTTCTCCTCTTCATCCAATGTAGGTGGATGATCTGGATTTAGAAAAGCACAATTTAGAACATTTGCTGTCACTTCTTCGTAAGTGAGTTCTGCTTCATTATCTTCTTGATTTTCTGGGACATCAAACCATAAGTAGAAACAATAAGGACACAACATAGAAATAGTTGGAAAAAATTTAGAACATTAGAAATAACTAGAATATAACCAGAAAAATTTAGAACACAAGAAGTAACTTTAGAACATAACTAATTTACAACATAATTATATTATTTAGAACATATGCACATAATTTAGAACATAATCATACAATTTAGAACATATGCACATAATTTAGAGCATAACTAATTTCAAACATAATCATATTATTTAGAAAATATGCACATAATTTAGAGCATAACTAATTTAGAACATAATCATATTATTTAGAAAATATGCACATAATTTAGAGCATAACTAATTTAGAACATAATCATATTATTTAGAACATATGCACATAATTTAGAACATAATCATATTATTAGAGCATATGCACATAATTTAGTACATAATCATATAATTTAGAGCATATGCACATAATTTAGAACATAAGAAAGTAGTTTAAAACATAAGCATCTGATTTAGAAAAAATTTAGAACATCAGAAATAACTTTAGAACATAACAGAAAAAATTTATAACATAAGAAGTAATTTTAAAACAAATCTAGTAATATTATTTCAAAAGAAAAAAGTTTGAAAATAATGTAAAACTACCAACTGCTGGTGAGGGGGTCAATAACTTGAAACTTGGAGGAGTTATATCAAAAGGTTGCTTCTTTTTTGGAGGAATTGGGGTTTTTGGTGACTCCTCATTCCTTTTCTCTTTCTTCTCAATTTTTTCCTCCTCGTTTCTCTCTTTTCTGTACTGCTCTTTTTCTTCTTCTTTTGATCCCAAATCTTCATAGCAATTACACCATAAAAATTAAGTATTATAGCAAATAGCAAAAAATAATTAGAAAATAAAAAGTAACTTTAGAACATAAGAAATATATACAATTAGGAGACAACCTAGAAATAGTTAGAATATAAAAAATTAAGAATTAACTTTAAAGCATAACCAGAAAAAATTTAGAGCATAAGAAGTAATATTAGAACATATCTAGTAAATATTAGTACATAAAAAATGAATTTGAAAATAATGTGAAATTACCAACTACTGGTGAGGGAATCAACAAGTTTTTTTCTTTATTCTCTTCATTTCTCTCTTCTTTGTTCTTATCTTTTTCCTCTTCCTTTGATCTCAAATCTGCTTAACAATTAGAACATAACTAATTTAGTACATAACTAATTTAGAACATAACTAATTTAGAACATAATCATATAATTTAGAACATAAGCATGTGATTTAAGCGCATGTTTTAGAACATAAAAAAGTACTTTAAAACATAAGCATCTAATATAGAACATAAGTATAATTTGGAAATTAAGCATGTACATGTGAAATTACCAACTGTCGGTGACTTTGGTGACCTTGTTTCCTCGAATTTCTTCCATGCCTTATCCATAACCATATCCAATTCTTCAATAAATGCCGGTTCATCGAAGACATGTTGATCTTGGCTGAGTATAGAAGGGCTTTTCTTTTCTTCTTGGTTCACGAATGTCTATAAAATAAGAAATTATAATTTAGAACATAATATGCATAATATTTATATAAATTTATTATACTTTAGAACATAAGCTGAAAATACTTTAGAACACAACCAGAAAATACTTTAGAACATAATTATAATACCTTTGTTGTGTACTTGCACCATATGTTGTCTATGAGATGTTGCATTTTTCCTGTTGTTTCTTCCTCAACAAAAAGATCTTTTGCTTGTTCTAACATGCCATACATCTCTTTAACATTCGAGGCAAGTGTTTTTGCCAAATCTCCAAATTTGCTCAAAAAGCCCTTCATTAGAACACAAAAATATTTCAGAACATAAAGGACATAACATGGATAATTTAACAGAAAAGGATTAAATGGAGCATAAAATATAATTTACAATATAAACTAAATCATACCATCATGTCATTTCGAGAAGTTGTAGAACTAGAACCTATTGATGATTTTTCCATTCTCTTCTCTTTTTCCTTTTGTTTTGGTTGTCTCTTTTTTCCTTTTGGTGCCTTCTAGTATATAAATTATAAAATTTAGAAAACAACAACATAAAGTGTAGTGTTTAAACATAAACATATACAAATATCATACCACAATTGATTCCATTCTTTCCAAGAGTTTTCCATATCCAAATCCATGATCTTTTTCAAACTTATATCTCACTTGAATCCTTTCCTTTGTCCACACCGAAATTAGTGGACATTTTCTTGGTTTTTCTAACCCTCCTCTTTGTAGACGATCAAAATAGAATACCTATTTAGTACATGTTAAGAATTAATTAGAATATTTTTCACACATTTTCAACATAACAAGAATAATATATATACATAATGGTAAGAATTTAAAACTTACCATTAGAAAAGGTAAAGGACCTGTAAAGTAAGAATTTCCCTTCTTCCATACACTTACAGAATCTTTCAAGTGCTCAATCACAAATGTGCACCAATCCAATTCAGCAATTTTTTTTACATCCATACAACTATACAAGAATTTAATGTATAGTTGTGGGTTGTTTGTTGATCGAATGCAACAATTGACAACACATACCACAAAGTTCCAAAGAAATTCATCAGAAACTGATTTTTCCTTCTTCAATTCTTGAATTCTGTCAATCAATCTCTTGTTGGTTGGACTTCCCTTTTAGAGGTAAAAAAAAACATATAAATTAAAACCTATGGAGATAATAGATCTATTTTAAAGCAAAAAACACTTTAGAACATAAGCAAAGCACTTTAAAACATACAATTTATAACATAAAATTCATACTTTAGAACATAAAATTTAAAACATAACCACATTATATCATCATACTTTTTTGAGGCCAAACTTGCTTCTCCAAGCTTTTAGAAACTTGCTCCATTTCAGATTTGACTCATCATTTGGTTGCTCAATCCTTTTGCCTCCCAATGGCAACCCATAAGCCAAATGAACATCAATTGCCTCCAAAAAGATTTCTTGTTTTGTCTTTGGTAACATCAAACAACATCTCTCCGTGTCAAAATTCGTAACCAAGTTTTCTGTCAACCTAGAATTATAATGAAAAATGTAAGATTTAAAGCACAATACAGCTATATTTAGAATATAATAGTCAACCTTTAGAACATAGAAGATTAAAACATTTAGTATAATATTTAAACTTTTGAACATAATTTAGAACATTATATAATAAAAAAAGTCTATTTTAGAACATAATAAACATACATTAGAACATAACAAAAAATTAATTTAGAACATTAGTGTATAGCAATTCAAACATGAGAGTTCATAATTTTAGAATACAAGAAGTAACTTTAAAACATAAGTAATTTACAACATAATCATATTATTTAGAACATATGCACATAATGTAGAACATAATCATACAATTTACAACATATGCACATAATTTAGAACATAGCTAATTTCGAACATAATCATATTATTTAGAACATATGCACAAAATTTAGAGCATAACTAATTTAGAACATAATCTTATAATTTAGAACATTAGTGTATAGCAATTCAAACATGACAAATCATAATTTTGAACATAACATTGATAATACTTATGATTTTAGAATATGATTTTAGAACATAACATTCTACTACTTACGTAGAATTAATATGGATTGGTAAATCCAATTCCAAAAAGCCTCCAAAACCAATGTTCCGAATAGCTTGCTTTTGTTTTTCCGAAAGATTTATCAACACATCCTTCATGAATTGAGTAGGAGGTACTCTTTGATAAGGTTGCCTCTTAACTAGTTTATCTTGCTCATTAGCTTCTACTACTTGGACATCCTCACCATCTTCTTCTTTTTCAATCTTTCTTTTCTTCTTCTTCACATCCTCACCATGAATAGATAAACATAATTAGAACATAGATAAGCAAAATTAGAACATAAGCGTGCACTTTAGAACATAAAAATAAAGATTGTAAAGATTAAAGAGTATTATTACCTGAGTTTGATTTTTTTTATTGATTTTTTGTTCCTCCTCACTATCATCTTCCATCTCCTCTTTTTCATCTTTCTCTTTCATCTTTACATCACCCTTATTATCATCCTCACCATCATCTTTACTATCATTATTCTTGTCATCATCCTCTACATTATTACCCTCTTCTTCTTTTTGATCTTTTCCTTCTTCTTGATCTTTTTCTCTTCCTTTCTTTTTTTGCAATTTTCGAGGTGGTTGAAGCCTTGTTGGAAGTTTTCTATGTCTTATAGCAACACTTTTACTTTCAATATGCTTCTCAAATTCCGATCTATCAATTACTTCCGCTTCAACGTTTTCAACTTTCCTTTAAAAACAATCAAAAATAATTAGAATATTATTAACATTAAATAGAGTGCAAATATAAAGGGATAAGATAAACATAAACTATAATGGATACATTTTAGAACATAATACAAATCTTCAGAACATAAGAGAAAACTTTAGAACATAATGGAAAACTTTAGAACATAATGGAAAACTTTAGAACATAATACAAATCTTTAGAACTTAAGGGAAAACTTTAGAACATAATGAAAAACTTTAGAAAAAAATTTAAAACATAATAGGTAAAGTTTAGAACATTAGTTTAGTTACCTTTTTCTTACATAAGTAATTTCTTCTTCTTGTATATTAGTAACTCCTCCTTCTGATTTTTCTTCATTTTGGCCTTGCATTTTGCTGCAATTTTAAGAAATAAAAAACATTAGTAACATTCCAACATTATTATTATATTTTTGAACATAGGAATGATTTAAAATATGCTGAAAAATAGTTTAGAACATGCTAAAAAAGAGTTTAGAAACTCATATGTACCAGAAAAGGTATTACTCTTCCTTAATTGTATGCAGAGGTTAGCTTTTGGTCTTGCAAATTTAGACAACCTACTGGTAGTTTCTAGCAATTTAATGCGATTTTTTTCAAGGTTTAACCGGTAATTTCTTGTTCATTTTCCTGTTTTATTTTCAACTACTATAATTCTTATCTCATTATGTAAATCATAGAGCATTCTTCTTGTGAATTCATCAAGGCCTTGCATTATATTGCTTATTATATATGTTATGAAGATCTACATTTGTATTGGTTACCTAAATAATATTAGTTTGCTGCTATATTAAAAATCTTTACTCTATATAAGAGTATAACAAAGCTATATTTAGTTCACTTTTCTATATAATCTTGACTGGAAAACTATCACCCAGAAAACTATCACTTGACTGCTTGATTGAAGGATTTTTGGCAATCAAGCAGAATATTCAGAGTACAAACTATCACCCAGAAAACTATCACTTCACTGGATATGCAATCTTTGATTCACAATTTCTACAGGATTCAAAATCAGTTAAATTTAACAAAACTAACAGTTTTCAACAAGTTCTATAGCTTTCCTTTTAATTCAGAGTACAATAATCTATGCTACCACTCATATTTTCTATGAAGCTTATTAGGTACCAAGTTATAAGTCTGCTAGACTAATAAAAGTGTATACCCATTACCCAGTTGGACAGTTAGCCCACCTACTTGCATATCCAGTGTTCAAAATCAGTTAGCCCACCTATTAGGTACCAAGTTATAAGCCTCATATTTTCAACCTATGTTATAATTTTTTCCTATGTTCCAAATTTTTCTACCTATGTTCTAAAGTTTATTTTCAGCCCTGCAATCACAAGTTCACTACCAACAACCCCTAACCAATTAGCTGCTGCTGCATAAATCAACCACCACACTACAACCCCTACAAACAGGGGCAATCGCACCAACATCACCAATTTGTTCAACCCCTAACTAATTGATGCAAGCAGAATAAGTAATGCCAAGTTGTTCAAGCTATGCTTGCTCATTAATCTTCATACCACCATATGACAACAATAGCCACCATCCATACCACCATATGCAACAAAATCTTCATACAAACATGGCTTCTCCTCTCAATGACAACAATAGCCACCAAATCAAGGCAACATGTACAGCAATCCCGGTCACTCGTATTGTGTCCATTGGTAATCCAAAAGATGACTCAGACTCACTACTCATCAAACTCAAAGTCGATTTCAAGCCATTAAATAACATTGACGGAAGAGTGTTATCACACATATCCATCAACAACAAATACCAGATACATATCCATCAACAAGAAAAAAAACAGTGATTTTAAGAAATACTGGACATTCATATTCATAGCTATAATTTCGCTTACTAACGAAATCGAGCATTTAGCAGACATTTTAAAAAAAACGCAAATATCAACTCACGAAATATCAAAAACAAATCAAAAAAACCATAAAAATCGAAAACAGAAAAACCATTAAAATCGAAAAAATCATCGAAAAATCGAACTAAAAAAACATAAAAACGCAAATATCAAATCACGAAATCGCAAAATCAAATCAAATAGTCGGAAAACATAAAATCGCAAAAATCAAAACAATAAATCGCAAAATGTACTTGAACAACATGCTAAGTTCATGGAAATTTGAACAAAATCGAAAAAAAAAAACGCAAAATCAAATCAAAAAATCGGAAAACATAAAATCGCAAAAAGCAAACCGAAAAATCGCAAAATCTACTTGAACAACATGCTAAGTTCATGGAAATTTGAACAAAATCGAAAAAAAAAACATACCTGAGTCGAAAATCCTTCAAATTGCAATTTCTATGGAGATTTTTGGGGGTTTGCAAAAGAGAATGAGATGAGCACGAAGAGAGAGAAAGTTAGAGGAGAGAGAAAATTTTGATCGGGTGGTAGGGCCGTAGGGGGTATGAGGAAAAATACGTTTTTTAATCTTAACCGTCTAAATTACCTTAATCCTACGGCTGAGATTGGTTCTTATATAACTAGGGTTCTTATATAAGGAGGGGTTCTTACCGGATCCCTCCCCTATATATATATATATATATATATATATATATATATATATATATATATATATATATATATATATATATATATATATATATATATATATATATATATATATACTTGTTTTCGTATACAGGTAGTACTGTGTACTATAAATTTATGAGTACGAATGTATAACTTCATAATTGCGGGAAAGTGAGTGTTGAAAAGTCTACAACGTTGTACAATTATGGACATTATTGTGTCATGGGGAACATCCCACATGGAAAATGATGGCATTCAGACATGATGGACGTTGTTTGGACTTTTATTTATACTGAGTGAGTATGGACATTTTCTCATCCATTTTACAATTCAGAGTGTTTATCTAATCATACATTGTGGTACCTTGAGGGTAAAACAATTCCTTTCCTTGAAAAAAAAAACAAAAAACAAAAAGAATGGCTGAATCGCTTTTGGTTGAGGCTATGAAACCCATGATTGAGGTTATGGTGAGTCGGTTTAAGGGGGAGATCGAACTCATGTGGCGGGGCTTCAGAGAAGATCTCAAAGAGCTCCAGCCCAAGGTCGATGTACTCTCAAACTATGTGCTCAACAAGACTGCTACTAATAATGATACTAGTAGTAGAGACCCAGTAGAACCGTGGATGAGAAATGTCGTCAACATTATATATGATGTGGATAATATGTTGGATGTGTTGGCTTATGAGAAGCAGCGTGAAGTTGTCATGAAAAAAAAGTCACAAAGGAAACGGGTCTTTTGGCCTTTGAAACGGGTCTTATTTCGGCGTAAGATTGGCAAGTGGATTGGTAGGATCAATACCAACATTTAGAAAGCCTTGAAAGAAGCTGAAACCATTAGCAAACTCCGTCAGGTTTTCGACTCAGCTCCAACAAACAATACCATGAATCAAGGTGCCGCTGAAGAAAATCCTCTGCAACAGGTTCGACGGTATGTAGATATGTCCAAGTTCGTTGGCAGGGTTACTGATGTTGATTCTTTGGTACACAAATTGTGCAACCCTTCCCGGGATACTGACATTGTCACCAATAACAGCATTTCTGTTGTGGCCATCACTGGTTTTGGAGGTATGCTTGCTTCTTATTCTTGGACTTTATTTTGAAAATTTCATCATACACCCGGTCAAAATACAATATTTATAAAAACGCAGAAAAAACATTGTGTACAAATACAAAGTACACGAACCAAAAAAAAACAAAAAAAAAAAAAAATCAAAATGGTTCTCTTGTTGAGTTAAGAGATTGATTTGTTATTTATATTTCTTGATTTATGGAATTGATTTATTATTTACATTTCAATTTTTTTTTTTTTAGGCATTCCATATTGTTTTTGATAAACAAAATTTTCATTTTTTTTAGGAAATTTTGCTATAAAGCATCTTTATAACCAATTTTATTTTTGCAAGAATGTTAAGATAAGTGTAAATATTATTCTGTATATTTCGGTTTCATTGTATTTAGCCTTAAGAATATTTAGTTACCAAGTTTACAACTAAATTAGCGGCTAACGTGACATAGAGGTCACGGGTTCGAATCTCATCCACCCCTCTTTTAAAGATGGAATTAATTTGCGTCGGGTATATGAGAGGGACTGTGTTGCATCCACATTTCAAGCCCAAAGGGCCTTTCATGTGAGGAGGAGTGATAGAGTATACAACATATTCCTGAACCTCAACCATCATCTTAAGATTTTGGTTGAGATGGTCCTTTTTCATGGTATCAGTTAGCTAGGGTTTATTTCTCTCGTTTCCGCTCGAACCTATTTCCGCCCAAATCCAACAATTTTTCCGTCATCTTCTTCTATTCTCCGGCAATCCTCACGATGTCAGACAAATCCTCTTTCCATCCCGTTTCACTGTCTCTAATATCAAGAGTAACATTCCCGTTGTTCTACAAATGGATAATGCTCAATACTCGACTTGGGTGGAACTCTTCAAAGTTCACGCACGTTCTCACAAAGTCCTACACCATATCATTGCTCCGGCCAAGGGCAAGGAGAAGCCTCCACCCTCCACTGACGAGGAGATAGAACGATGGTCGACTTTGGACTTTGGACGCCACAGTTATTTCGTGGATATACTCTACCATCTCTAATGATCTTTTGACCACCATTATTGAGCCCGATGCTACGGTGATGGAAGCTTGGAATAGATTGCGTGACATATTTCAAGACAATGAGAATTCCCACTCTGTTTCTCTTGAACAGGAATTTTCCACCACGTCAATGGAAGGCTTTCCTAATGCCTCCTCATACTGTCAACGCCAGAAATCCTTGGCTCATCAGTTGAAGAACGTCGGTGCTCCGGTGTCGGATAGTAGAGTGGTATTGCAATTGGTTGGAGGCCTTACAAAGGCTTATAGTGGTGTTGGCACGTTAATTCGGCAGAGCAACCCGCTTCCCCCTTCTATAAAGCTCGGTCCATGCTCATTCTTGAGGAGACAAGCATGGCCAAGGAGGCTGCTACAGAATCGGCCATGGTGGCATCATCTTATTCGGATTCCCCACAAAATTCTGAAAATACAGGAAGTTCGAAAAGGAAAAATTCTGGTCGGAAAAACACCGATGGCCGGCACAACAACGGCACCAGCGATGCAGGTGGCAGCCGCGGTTCAGGTGGGGGGAGCAAGTCTGGAAAGGGACAACAACAGCAAACCAGAGGTCGTGGCTCCCAACCGCAGCAGCAACGACAGTCCCCTGTTCCCCCGTATTGGCAGCAGCCATATGGCCCATGGGGGTTGTCAAATGGGGCCTGGCCCATTCCACCTTGCCCTTACCCCAATCAAGGTTGGGCTAGGCCACAACAGCAGTAGCAACGGGCCTCATCTCCTAGCATTCTGGATCCTAGGCCACCGAATTACCAACAGGCTTATGCAGCTTCACAACTTGGACAACCTACACCAACTGATCTTGAAGCTGCCATGCACACAATGTCACTTGTTTAACCGGACCCTTCTTGGTATATGGATACCGGAGCAACATCTCACATGACGTCCTCTTCCGGTAATTTCTCGTCTTATTTTATTTGATCAATCATCCTAATAATGGCATTGTTGTTTGTAATGGTAACACTATTCCGATTGTTGGCTATGGTACTTCTAGTTTACCCTCCCCTTTCCTCGAAAAATGTCCTACATGCACCCAAACTCATCAAAAATCTGATCTTTGTTCGTAAGTTTACTAATGATAATTTTGTGTCAGTCGAATTTGATCCGTTTGGGTTTTCTGTGAAGGATTTTCGGACGGGGATGCCAATAATGAGGTGTAATAGTCAAGGCGATTTATACCCTATCACCACCACTCTTAACAATCAAGCTAATCCATCCACCTTTACTGCCATCACTCCTAAGCTATGTCATAATCGCTTGGGTCATCCGGGGGCTCCTATCTTAGATGCTCTTAGGAAAAATAATAGCATTGATTGTACTAGTTGTTCAAGTTCTAGTATTTGTGGTTCTTATGTTCTTGGAAAACATATTAAATTGCCATTTTCTTCATTTTTGTCGAGTACTATTATGCCTTTTGACATTATTTATAGTGATTTGTGGTATTCTCCTATTTTGAGTTCTTTGGGTCATAAATATTATATTGTTATTTTGGATGATTTCTCGAATTTTTTGTGGACTTTTCCCATATCCCGAAAATCGGATGTGTATGATACTTTCATGAATTTCAAAACACATATTCTCACCCAATTTCAACGACATATTAAAAATGTCCAATGTGATAATGGCCGGGAGTTTGATAATAATTCTTTTTGGGATTTTTGTAAGGCTCATGTGATGTCTTTCCGATTATCTTGCCCATATACTTCATCTCAAAATGGGAAAGCCGAAAGAAAAATTCGGACCATAAATAATGTCACTCGTACTCTTCTTGCTCATGCTTCTCTTTCCTCTTCTTTTTGGCATCATGCATTACAAATGGCTACATATCTTCCCAATATTCTTCCAAGTAAGCTTTTGGGGCATAAATCTCCTCTTGAGGTTCTTTACAAAAGGGCTCCATCTTATTCTCATTTACGGGTTTTTGGTTGTTTGTGCTATCCTCTTATTCCTTCTACTACAATTAATAAGCTTCAACCTAGATCTACCCCTTGTGTGTTTTTGGGATTGCCTACGAACCACCGTGGCTATAAGTGTTTTGATTTATCGACTAATAAAATCATTATATGTGGCCATGTTGTATTTGATGAGTACAAATTCCCTTTTGCAA